CCTCCGCGGCGACGCGGTCGCGCGCGGCGGCGGCCGGCGGCGCCGCGCGGAGGCACCGCCGCAGCGCGTGGTCGTCGCGGTGCGAGAAGACGACGCAGAACGGCGCGGCGAGCGAGTAGGCGCCGGAGAAGAGCGCGCCCGGCCGCCGCGAGAAGAAGTAGAACCGGCTCCAGACGGCCGCCCACGAGGCCACGTAGACGCCGCAGCCCACGAGGCTCCGCCGCACGGTGATGGCGACGATGTCCTCGTCCTCGACGGCGACGCCTTCTCTGAAGGACGTGCGCCGCGCCGAGCCGCGCCGGCGGCTCCGGCGGAACGGCAGCAGGAACAGGAGCGTCGCGACGACGACGATGGCGACGTCCAGCGCGAAGGCCGCCGAAAAAATGGCGACGCGGTCGCTCCGGTCGAAGACGCGATATCCGACCTCGGCGCAGACGAAGACGAAGGCCTGGCTCGCCACGAGCACGTAGAGACAGGGCTCGAGCCACCCGGGCGTCCGCGACGAGAAGAAGACGGGCGCGCATCTCTCGCGCGCGAGGAGCCAGCAGTAGAAGCTCAGCGGCCCGAGGAAGATGGCCGCCAGGATCTCCTCGTCGACGGCGTCGTGCGCGCGCTCGCCGACGGCGCAGTCGAGCCCGAAGTTGAGCCAGCCGAAGCCCGCGCCGAAGAGACAAACGGCGCAACTCGCCGCGTGCATGACCAGCGCCCGCCGCCGGTGCGCCTCCTGGCTCCGCGAGTTCGATTCTTTCGTGCGCCGCGCGTCGAGGCAGGTCTGGATCGCGCGGACGACGCGGAGGAGGGCGAGCAATGACGCAAAAAAGCACATGACGAGCACGACGATGCACTGCCCCCCGACGTGCCACGACTCGTCGCGCTGCCGGAGGCCCGACGGGTCGCGCATGGTTCTGGGCTGCCTCACGCGCCCATATGAGGCGGGGGCGTGTTGAATCCGCACTTTTTTAGGCTGTTGAACTTTTTTAGTTATTGGCCTCTGCGCGCAAGACGACATTGAGCCCTTTCAGATGCAACAAGAACCAAAGGAATCGGTGGCCATGGCGCCGAGAACGAGCATGCCAAAGTAGCCCCTCACCATTGCCAGAGCCCTCTTTGCCATCGATTTTCTCAAGATACAGGTCCGCCCTTCGAGTGCAGATTCTAAGCGCCCCCGCCTCATTTACATCCACACCAGCTACGGCTCATGCTGTGGCCAGGGTCGACCGGAATGCGGCAAATGCTCGATCTTGGTTGCAGAGCTAAACGAGGTGGATCTGAGCTGCCGAGAAGCTTGGGTTTTCGATGAGCGGTGCGCGCTGCTAGTGGCGGGCTAGGAGCTGCTGCGCCGCGTCTCGCCTCGCTCCAGTGCTTCCAAGTTTGCATCGTGCCTGAAAAGCGAGGCCGTCGCCGCGCCGCGACCGGGCAGTTCGAGCGCTCTGATCAGAACGCTGCCGCATCGCCGTTTCGGCCGCAGCTGCCTGCCTCGCGCGCGCGCCGCCATGTTTAGACTATTTGAAAGGATCAATGCGATCATCTTCGACTTCCGCACGGGCGAGACGTGGCGCGACGACGCCGAGCGCCGCGCGTTCGCCGCCGCCGCCGTCGAGCGCTGCGTCGCGCGCGCGCGGAGCCTCGGTCGGTCGCGGATGTACCTCTTCGGCGCCTTGCCTTTTAAGCGTTACGTTCCCTCCCCGATCCCACTGCCATGGTCACATTTATTTTGGACCGAACAGGTACCCGCGCGCCATCGCGCGGTCGGG